CACCCACCCACCCATCCATCCATCCACATATTTATTTATTCAATTTATCTCTGCCATCTCCCCCTAATGAGGGACTCTGGGCGGCTCACAAAATCCATTAAAACAATAAATATATAAACCATAAAAACTATATATAAATAACTCAAGGTGGCGAACATACCTAATACTCCTGCCTCCTATTTTTCCCACAATACCAATCAGGTGGGCTCGGCTGAGAGAGAGCGACTGGCCCAAGGTCATCCAGCCAGCTTTCATGTATCAAGTGAGGTTCCAGCAAGATTAGTCTTAGGTCCTGTGTTTCAATGTTTTCATTGGTAGAAATCCACTGGTAGAATGGATTCTTACCAAATTTGAGGATGATACAGAATTGGCTAGGATGGCTAATATCTTAAAAGACAGAGTTAACATTCAAAATATTGTTGAAAGGTTGGAGAAATGGAGTGGTAGAAAACAAGTAAAATTTCACTTGATATTTTTCACTTAGGAAAAAAGTCAAATGCACAGACATAGGATGAGAATTACCTGGCTTGGTTAAAGCACTTGTGAAAAAGATTTTGGAAGAGTAGTTGACTGCTAACTGAATATGAAGCAACAGAATGATTTAGGCAATATGCATTTTTACCTCATATATTGTAATATTTCAGCTTTATACTTGTACAGTATATTAACATACCATTACAGTAATGCACATTACATTTTATTATAGACACTCCTTGTTATGCTAGTATTTTATCTCACCCGTTTGATTTTATTTTTGTGTTGTATATTTTCAAACGTTGCTGGTCACTGACTGAATAAACATTTCATTTCATAAAATGATGTGACTGCAAAACATGAATGTTTATGCTGCATTAACAAAGTGTAATTTCTGAATCACAGGAACTAGTTCTACTCGTTTTTGCATTGGTGAGACCACCACAACAATGGTGTCCAGTTCTAGGCAGCACACTTTCAAGATTCATAGAAATTAGAACAGGTTCAGAAAACGGGAACAAGAATGATTATGGGACTAGAAACAAAATCCTATAGAGAAAGATTGAAGGAGCTGGGTATGTTTAGCCTTGAGAAAAGATGACTGGGACAGGGGTATGATAATAGTTTTCAAAAATCTGAAAGGATGTCATACAAAGAAAATCAATATATCCTCTCTTTCATCGCAGAGCAGAGGACACAGAATAGTAGAGTCAACTTACAGGAAACAATTGTGAATGGATGATAGAAAAAACTTTCTAATATTAAGAGCAATTTGTCAATGGAACAAATTGCCCAGACATCTGGTGGCCTGGCTCCCCTTAACGTTTCAAGTAGAGACTAGGCAGCCATCTGTCTTAGATGCTTTAATGTGGATTCCTGCAACAGAGGGTGTTAGACTACAAGGGCTAAATGGATTCTTCCAATTTTATGAGTCTAGACTATAATTTATTTACTATAAATATTTATGTTCTGATTTTCAACATAAAGATCATCCCAAAATGGCTTATAAGCAATAAAATATTTGTGAATAAAATAAATATTATTTAAAAACAAACAGCAAAATTCTAGATTTTTTCGTACAAAGCAATTAGCAATAATGGCCCTGTTTTAGACGAGGGAGATGTTGTACGTTATATATATTACAGGGATGCAGAGCTCTGTGATCATTTCACAATTTTTGCTTCAATGTATATTATAGCATCATTATAATTTTCAAAGAGGTATACATGAAGAATGAATCAAAGCTTATCTCTTTAAATCCCATTAGACCAGGTCTCTACACATACCATAAAATTCATCAATGGTAAAAGTAACATAAAAAAGGATGAGAAATGCTGACACAATGTCTCTACAGACTTGGAACTTACAATTAATGCATAACTAGGCTAAACTACCACTCTAACAAAATCCAATGGAATAACTGTTTTGTAAATACTGTGGTTAAGACGGATAAACCATGGGTGCAACTAATACCAACGCACAAACATTAACTGACTTTCCGTTTAAATACATTACATGTTTTTGGGCTTAATGATATCTGCTATCATTGTAATTGTATCAACAGTACTTTAAAAATCATTATTCTTTAGATGTAAAGGCTATTCATAATCTGTGCAGATGCTGCCTAATAAGTCCTAAAAAGAATAGATTTCCCCCCTTCCTCCAGCTTCCAATTTACCTCATTAATGAAGTCCCCAATGTCCCCAGGATGAGGAGCTGCTGATCTGACTGGATACTGAGGTTCTGCATGGATAGGTCTTTCATCAAGTCGTCTTATTCCAACAGGTTTGATGGCATCTGGTTCTATAGTGTCAGGTTGCTGGAGCTGACTTAAATCATAGTCCTGTAAGTGATACATAAGATACTGATTTATATCTTGCTTTTTCATCCAGGAAAGATGGTTTAGATCAGCAGTGCTCAAACATTTTGATCTCAGGACCCCATTATATTCTTAAAAATGATTGAGGACCCCAAAGAGCTTTGGTTTATGTGGGTTATACCTATCAATATTTAGACATTTAGACTAAGAATTTTTAAAATATTTACTTATTTGACATTGCAGATACCCTAAAAAGGTTTCGGGGACTCCCAGGAGTCCCCAGACCACACTTGGAGAACCACTGGTGTAGATAACGTACAATATGCATAGTAAAGAGAAAAATGCTTGTTCTTATAAAATATGCTATTGCTCCCTTTTCTCACTGACCTTCATATATTCATGCTGCAGCTATAGAATAGGATTATTTTTGTGGAAGAAATGGAAATTTCTTCTTTTAGATTCCCAGAGGTAATTCCCTATCTTTTGTGAGGCAGAGAGATTCCAACACCTTCAGCTGCCCTTCCCCGACCCTCCAAACCCTATAATACTTGATAAATAACTTGCAATGTTATGTCAACTAGCAATTTTAAGGGAAACTACAGACAGAGAGGGGGGTGGGGGGGAACCAAATTTCCCTGGCTGTTCTATCTCTAGCTTTAAGAAGATACCTTATCAGTGCTTTGCTTGCATTAACATGCTTTTTGAAGTTTCTCTTTCTAATGCTTTGCGCAGCTTTAGTAACTAGGTCTGCTGTACCCTTGGGGTGGGTAGAATGTCCTCTCTGTGAAGTACTGAAGCACACATTAAGTAATTTCCATTCGTCTTTTGAACATGGAGGTCATTTCAGACGCCAGGATGTATAAGACTTTATGGAACAACAGCTAGTTTCTAACTTGTCTCCTATAAGCTGCATCCGCCATGAAGAGAGTATTAACATTATAGTACCTGAAAAAGGGGTGAACTGTGAAACTTTGAAAAACATGATATAGGTCTGTAGAGAACTGCTGTATCAAACTGAAAGCAGAGAACTATGGATTAAAAATCAGAACAACTTTATCTGAATATTTGCTGAACAAAGTGACTTTCTATAAAAACAAAAACAAAACAATCCGATTTTAGGCTAAAACCTTGATTGGACATATCTTCACTGGTTCAATCAGTACCCCATTACAAAACTAAGTTAGATTCTTAGTTAGGAAATGTATTACTGGCAAGTTCAGGAAGGATACCTCTTTGAGGAATCTATTATACATGGGGATTATGATTTTGATCCATTCTTGATCATCATCATGTTAGTCAGCATTTCCACTCCCTTTTTAACGTGCAATGCTTTTTAAAGATTAGTCTGTGTTCCTGTCATCAGGTAATAGCAGCTTTTGGTCCTCCTAAGGAAAATTTACTGGTAGAAACTCTCTGAGATGGAAATAAAATATGTAAGAAATTCTGAGAATAATCCAGCTTTGTAGTTGTAACCTTCCAACCTCCTTACTGTCAGTTGAAATAACTTGAGGATGACATATATGAATCTGTGCAGGAAATCCTTGGATATAAGTAATTTTCATAGCATCTGGACTTTGGAAATTGGCCTGTTTGGCAATGCAGGATTTTTAGGGATAGTGTGCATTTTCAGACTTCTTATATGATTGAGAATTCACAAAGTTAGAGGTGAAAAAACCTGGAGTAGAATGTTTTCTTCTTAGTTGTTTTACAGAGTTTAACATCACAAAAGTAACATCTTTAATATTAATTAGTGAAGAAGGTGAAGTGATAGAAAAGTAAGGGAATGTTTGTTTTCATTTTGTTATATAAAATTAAAACTTGATCAGAGTGTCTACTGAATTGCAGATCAGACAATCTGGTATTTACATACTCTTGTTTTTCACTTCAGATTGCAAGACCACCTTCCTAATTTATAACTTTTTTGCATCATGGTATATGATGCTGAAGCTTCTTATGAAAGACCAAAATGATTAATCTCCATTCAGTTAGGGTTCTTTTGGTGCTTTCTGATATACTTCGGTCTTCTGTTGCTAGACCTGATAGGTGAGTCTATCCTTCATGTTGAATTCCTATCTGAGACTCATCCAAAGGGAGATAATCAGTAAAGAGCCAATGGTAATCTAACTGGGCTATGTAAATATCCACACACAAAGGGCAAACTGTGATTTGGAGTGCATCTGGATACCCACGTAGCACATGCCAGGATACTTTAAATCAAAGTGTCTTCTTCCCTGATTACACTGGAGGGCAGTTGTGTGACCATAGGCAAATGTGCTATATGCAAGCCCATGTAAGTGCTGACTCACATTTTACCCTCTGAATCCAGATCACTTCACAGCTTTATAAGTGTATTATTATTTTTAGGCAGTAAATGTATTTTGTAATTAGCGTTGTTCTAGTAAAAAAAGCTTATATAACTAACATATCCTTTCCATGTACATCAGACTACAAAAAGTGTTTTTTTTTTAAAAATCACAATAGTTATGATTGGAATCTTATGCACAAAGATTTACATGTGGAAGTAAATTTGGCTGAATGTATATACAGAATAGAATACAAAACTGTTTTTTAAAAATCTTGACAGGTTCTCAAGTTATTAACAAACTTTGATCATTTTTAAAGAACCTGTATAATTTGGAAAAAAGTTTGGGTTCATATGTTAAGTTGTTAAAATAGATAATCCTTTTCGAGCTTTGAACATGTAATCTTGGTCTACCATGAAAAATACTAATCTTGCTTGATTTGTGTATCTGTGTGCCTTTTTAAAAATAATATCTGATGTCTTTAGCAAAGTTTCATGTCTCAACAGTTTTCACATTTCTGGAATAATATACCTCGGAAGATTCTTACTGATAATTTTTTCTTCAATTTACTTAAAAATGCAGATTTACAGTGCAAGAGGTGAAATCACTGTATTTTGAAATATTTTCATTTAATATACTGTAAAATCTACATACATAATTTAAGGCTCCAAGAACAAAAACACAATTTTAAAACTTCTTCAACAGTAGATTATTCAAATCTAAACAAATTTACTGTATGTGGATTACTTACAAACATGCATGTATTAATTAACAATTTGTAATTCTAATTCTACCTTTTGGGAATAATCTTTTACTGTAACTTTTTTCAAAAACAACTACTCAGCTTATTATCCTATTGAATGCAAGAAGAAATCTGATCCAGGAAGAAAAAAAAAATGTTTTGGCCTTGTTACCAATGGACAGAGATTTCATGCTATATTCTTCATTCCTGCACAGCAAAACGTATGGCTAGAATACTATAGACTATAACACTACAGCTGAAAATCGACTCCAATAAGGTCACTGGCCAAACAGCATTTAAAAACCCATCCCTCTCTGTTGCTTCTTAGCAATTATTTACAAAAATATTATTTAAGTTGTTCATGTAAAGAGACAAACTGACCTCCTCACCTGCTATGACTCATTTTTAGATTCTTGACCCATACATTATGCAAAGTGCTGGCATAAGTTTCAATCTGAAGGCAAAACACATCATTTGAAGGCAGTCACATTCTCAGTGACTGCCATCCCGTGTGTTTTGGTGGCTCTGCACCATCCTTACAAACATACACCTCTTTACACTAGTGAAGAGTATGAAGTAGAGTGAACTTATTATCCCTGTTTAGTACTCACAAGTATTCTTCAGCCAACTTTGTTACTTGATGATTATGCCTGCCTGCAAAAGTATCAAATTATGTTGGCAAGGAGGTTGAGAAAAACTAGTCAAAGCAATCAGTAGCCTTGTTTTTTTCCCTACAGAGAAAAGAATTAGTCTCTTTTGATGCACACAGTGGCAGTTTTTAAACCCAAGCAATTGTGGCAATTTACAGGCATGATTTTCACACCTACACTATAAAAAACCCTAAATGTGAATGATTAATATTATAATATAATATAATATAATATAATATAATATAATATAATATAATATAATAT